GGTGTTCGTGGGGGTCACCACGGGACTCTGCCCCACGCGGGCGCCTTGGCACCCGTGGGCTCTGCTTGCTCCGAGGGGAGATGGGGGAGAGGGGACACCCCCGAGGGTGGTGTTCCCCTCCTGCCCCTCCGTCCCTCCGCCACTGACCGGCACCCACTGTCCTTCCCCCCGCCCCAGCAAGGAGAGCTCAACTCCTTCCTCTGGACCATCCGCCGTGACCCCCCTGCCTATCTCTTCGGCACCATCCACGTGCCCTACACGCGGGTGTGGGACTTCATCCCGGACAACTCCAAGGCCGCCTTCCACGCCAGCTCCAGCGTCTACTTCGAGCTGGACCTCACCGACCCCTACACCATCTCCGGGCTGGCCAGCTGCCAGATGCTGCCCCACGGGGAGAACCTGCAGGACGTGCTGCCCCGGGAACTCTACCGCCGACTCAAACGCCACCTGGACTACATCAAGCTGATGCTGCCCCACTGGATGACCCCGGACCAGCGGGGCAAAGGGCTCTATGCTGACTACCTCTTCAACGCCATCGCCGGCAACTGGGAGCGCAAGAGGCCCGTCTGGGTGATGCTCATGGTGAACTCCTTGACGGAGACGGACATCCGCTCCAGAGGGGTGCCGGTGCTCGATCTCTACCTGGCCCAGGAGGCCGAGAGGATGAAGAAGACGACAGGCGCAGTAGAGAGGGTGGAGGAGCAGTGTCACCCGCTGAACGGGCTCAACTTCTCCCAGGTAAGAAGGCTCCTGGGCCTCGTGGCTTATCCCAGGAGGTGGGGGCCGTTCTCTGTGCGTGTTGGTGGGTTTTATGGACGCGAACCCCAGCGCTGTTGCAGCGGGATGGGTTGCTCGTGGGCTCCAGCAGCCTTTGCGTTGGGCTGCCCGTTCTCCATCGCGCCGATCCAGGCTGCCTGCAAAAAAACCTGCGATGTGCGCAGCGAATGCTGTGTGTTTATCATGTGTATGATTCATTTGAGAGGCAAATGTCTGGGGTGTGAATGTGTGTGTCCGCTGGCTTGCCACTTGTGAGGGAAACTTCCACGCCTCCCATCCTGTCCTGGAGCTGGGTAAAAAGCGTGCTTTTTTTTTGTTTTGTTTTGTTTGCTTGTTTTTCAAGTGAAGCAGCTCTGTGGTACTTGTCAGGAAGAGGATGAAACTTGAACAATGAGAAAAGAAATTTCAATATTGTTCAAATAGATTTAAGTACGTGCAAAGTGTCAGTCATCTGTTCAGTAGTCACTCCAGGTCAAAACAAACTGGCTCACGTTGCTGTCATGTACTGGGGGAAATTACATGCTCAATCTGCGTGGACTTTTTTTCATTTTAGAACAGGTAAAGTTCAGCAAAAAGAAAAGGATGTAGATTAAGAAACAGAAGTTATTGGTGTAACTGGACTCCAGAATTCTTTCAGTGGATTTAGCTTTAAACAACTGAGTACTAAGCCATGCAATCTATTTCATTTCAGTGGATTAATCAGGAACACAGTCACAGCTATTGACTTTGCTTTGTGAAACTGTTTATATGAAATCAGATTTACTAGAAATTCAGGAAATGAATGTGTGTGGAAGAAAACAAATAATCCAGGGGAAATTTAAGACGGTGTCAGTTACGGCAATGATATTTCGTTTTTAACCTGCTTTTCGTCATTAGTTTTGGATCGGCCAATTTCCAGCTCTGTCTTGTTGTCCTAGTTTGAGCAAAAAATTTCTTGGTGTTGTGGGAATAAGGATTAAAGGACTGATCTTTGGTGTGATTAAAATGTCCTTAGAGTGCCTTCACTCCCTTCTCCCCTGAAGTCTAGTGGGAACTGTTTTAAGGGGAAAAAGTCTGGCTTTCACAAACATTTGATTCATCTGATATTTCAACTAGAAGTCTAACTCTGCGTAAAGCCTTCAGAGGAGAAGATTGGTTGCATACACTTTTGGAGGGATTTTCTTGTTTATCAACAAAAATAATTAAAAGAAAGCCCCTCAGGACCTTCGCATTCATTAACACACGCGCAAAACAAGGAATTCGTTTTACTCTGTTCTGTTTGAAAGGTTTAAGTGCCTATCCTCTCTGTTGAACCCCTTCTTTAAGGTGAGGTAAAAATAATTAACCATTCCAGGCATCCAATAGCATTTGGCTTTATTAGGTCAAAAATGGCAGTTAGAATCAAGCACTTGGTTAAAAATGTACCACTTGGAAGCCTTTTAAACGTGAATCATATTACATCTTTTTCTTTTTAGAGAGCGAGCGAGTGCACAACAGAGGAAGGAAAAGGGACAGAGTACAAAACTCACTGCTGCTCTTATGATAATTCTGTTTTTCTCTTATTCTCTAAATTTTAAATAGAAATAAAAATTTCCCCTTAATTTTGCTACAGTAATAATCCCCAAAAGAACAGCAGAGGTATTACTGCTATTGGCAAGTAAAGGACAATCATTTGTGCAAAAAGTTTGTACTGATTAAAAAAATACATCACATCTTAATTATTACAGAGAATTGACATTGCTGCTAAAATAGATCAATGTTCAGGAAGATTTTTCCTAGATAGAAGCTTTTTCTGGGAATGAGGCCACCAGAACAACATGAGACAAAATTAAACAAAACAAACCAGATATTTATTTTCTTGCTTCCTCTAGATTTCATGCATCCTGACACCTGGCTAGTTGTTTAACAATAGTAATTTGTAATGTTATCACACCGTCTGGCAGTCCTACTGCTTGGTGTATTACTGTGCTAATTTAGTGGAGTGGATTACTATTGCTAGGTTTTGCCTCCCCATTTCAGGTCTTGGAGCCTTCCTTAAGCAACACGTAATTAAAACACGCTAAAATGGAAATCAGAAATTGAGCAGCTTTTGTCTTGTAGCGTGTTTGCACAGTTTGATGAGAACATCTGTGATAAATTACAGTCCCAAATCTGCTAAGGGCATCAGCAGTTTTTACCTGTTTTCAGCATTACTGTTACGGGAATACTGCACGTCATTTCTGCATTCGGAATTCAAGTTTTGAAACTGTGCCTTGCTGAATCATGTCAATGCTTTTGTTTCCCCCGTCCCCAAAGTCCAGTTTTTTTGCCCTAAGCAAATTAAAAAAGAAAAAAAGCTTTTTTTTTTTTTTTTTTTTAACTTCTTCCCCTCAAAGGCAGCTTTGTGCTACTGCAAATATTTAATCTGACTACATGCACCAAATCGGTTAATCTGATACCGCGAGGAGGAGGAAATCTAGGAGTGGTCCTGGTGTGGTACTTGGTTTTGATCTGCTCTGAAAGAAAGCGGATACACTTGCATTTTTGACCAGGAATGATCTTTGAAAAAGTTCTGTGCGTGGCTTTGAAATGTTGATTGTCTTAGCCGGATGAAAAGATTAAGGTGGCTCATATAATTAGCTGCTTCCTGGAGAGTCAGCTCTGGCAGGTAGAGCACGGCGCATTGTTTTCTATTGTAAACCCCAAAACTTTGTAGTCTGATGCTCCGCTCCCTCTGAAATCTCCGCTCGGGGTTTGGTGCCGCTCTCCCAAACCGGCACCGCTAGGATCGCCTTCCTTTCCCGTGGACCGGCGGCTTTCCTGGGCGGCTGGCGGAGGAGCGAGCATCCTCGATGACCCCGGGGACTCTGCTCACTCAACCTCTGGGTCCTTGGTATTGTATCGCTGGTGGCAAGGCATCTGAATCACAGCAAAAGGCTGCGGGGGGAACTCAGGTCAGGTTTGGGTCAGGTTGAAATTTCACCGCTCCTCGGTGTATGAAATTTCAGGGTTTTCACTGGAGGTGGGACAGAAGGAGCCGAGAAGCGCGCTAAGAAGGGGAAGCAGGCAACTTTTCTGTCTGGCAGCACAGATGTTAATTTACAGAGCAGCCAGAAAAGTGCCAAACCAAGTGGGCCAGGACTGAGAAGAGCTGGTGAGGGGCGGATGGCATTCAGGGCCTTCTCTTATTGGGGTCCTGGCAGAGGCACTGCAGTCAGCACCATGACAGGCCATGAGGACTTGTCCACGCATCCTCTGAGGGCCAGCTGGGCAAAGGGTTAAGCTTTCCCTCCTCTCTGTGACCCTGACACAAATCTGTGGTGAAAAGCTCTCCCCTGGCTGTTGTTGGAGCAAGGAGGATGGTAATGGTGACTCCTACAGCTACTCAGGTCCATCTGTGTCCACCCTGATCACCCAGGGCTGTGGTGGGACCCTCGGGCAGCATCACCTCCCCACGAAGAACCTGTGCGGTCAGCAAGGGGAAAGTCTTACTCCTCTACCTGA